TGGCCAGGAAAGTGGTGGAGTCACTATCCCTGGAGGTCTTCAAATAACGTGTAGACGTGGCACTTCAGGACATGGTTTAGTAGGCATGGTGATGTTGGGTTGACGGTCAGACTTGATGATCCTGGAGGTCTTTTCCAACCTTAATGATTCTATGATTCTGTGTCTGGGCAAATAAAGCCCGTGGACAGACTCATGGCTTTCACAGGGCTTCAGTAGGACTACTGTTGTGTTTATATTTTTCCTTCTTCATATAGGTGTGATCGAGCTTTCCTATTTTAATTATCAGTTGAAAGTAACAAAAGTCTAGATACTTAAGCCCTTTGCTACTTTTAGCCTAGTTTCAAAAAGTCTGCCTCAGTTGTCTGTGGAAATTTCTATTGTTGCAGTTGAGGAATAGAGTTAAGATTGAATCCATTTGGGAAAGAAAGAGGGAGCAGTGCATGGTTGCTCATGAAGTGTTAGCATATCACACCTATTCATATTTCAGCCTAACTCATTTATTTAAGCACAAAAATAACAATGGAAGCAAACCAGCTTTATATTTCCAAGAATGCTGTTTTGCTCTATGAGCTATCACATTTTTCAGCTAGAAGCTATGTAAAACCAGTAATAATTTTTCTTTAAAAATAATTGAAAACAAGTTCTTTAATGTGGAGTAAGTGAAGATTTTCAAATCAAAGATCTATCCTCTGGCTAGTGATTGAAGGGGAAGGATTGGACCCATAGGAATTATCAAGTTTAAAGAACGTGACCTTATGTCCTTTACTAGAGAATAAGGAAATACACTGGAGACTTTCCAAAAGTTTGTCTCCACCAAGAGGATTCCCAAAGATGTCTCCTTGGGTCTACTGGTGGCCACTTTATGCTAGACACTGTTCTGAGCTATCACCAGTATTGACCATGGTTTCAGTTTGACTTGGTATCAGGCAAAATGATGCTTAACTGGCAGCGAGCACCAGCAGGGATTTTTCATGGGAAAAACAATAACAAAAAAACCCTCTTATGTTTATTAAGATTGCCAGCTGGAAACACATTGCTGCAATGACACCGCCAGTCTCCTGAAAATGGCTATGAGAGACTTTTTTCTAGCAGAAGGTGACCTCCCTGCTTGTATCCTGGCATGTCTTCTCTCCTCAGTTAAGTGCTTCAGGGTTAGGCTTTGAAAACTGTACTACTTACTATCATCTCCTTCTGCAGTCAGTAGAAAGTAGTGAGCATCCTCAGACAGGAGCCTGTCTCTAAGACAGATTGCTAAGACACGTGATGTAAATCACTCCTTATTTTTCCCATTTGACTGAAAGAAAGCCAAGGTGAGTAGCGCCAGCATTTAAACTTTTTAAAACTTGAATCTCTTCAGTTGGGTAAGATGAATCCCATATAGTGCACAGGACATAAAAGTTGTTAGTGCTGTTGGGGTAGTGGGACAAATAGGAGTAATGTGGCTGACAATATTTCTGCAGGTTTTATCTGAATCTCTTACATGATTAAATAGACCGCTCTGGTCTCCGATGTGAGTGTAAACAGACCAAAATGAAGAAGAGCTTCACCTTTAAGCAGTCTTCCTCGTGTCAGTATTTGGGTTAATGACCAACTGGTCTCATTCGTTGTCTGTCCCATTTCCTTTCTTATCAGAAAGTGCCTGCAAGCCCAGTTTGCATGCATATGCACAGATCAGTCCACAGGAATTCCTGATGACTGTCTTCCTCCTATTCTGTGAAGGTACAAAGTAGTGAGCAGCTATGTCCAGTTTCTTTTCCAGTATGCCTGCCTGGGCTGAGAGGCTTTCTTTCCCCCTCCTATCGTGGCTCTTTCTTTGTTTAGGCAGATTCTTTGTGTGGTTAATCTTCAACATGCTTCATCTGCTTTCCATTCTCCTGCCTGCAGCCTAAGGCAATTAGCTCGACCCAGCTGGGAAAAAGAAAGCAGAGGTTGTTCTTTAACCAATGGAACAGCCTAATAATGATCACATTTCTCCTGAAATAAATGATTGTTTGTATAATATTAACCCTCAGGCCATACCTTAAGACTGCATAGTGCAAAGAAGGACCCCAGGGAAAAAGCAAATGCTTTGTATTCTGTTTAGTAAACAACAGAATATCCAAATATTTATATATCACTTATCTCACTTGCTTACACTTTTAATCTTACTGAAAAGAACTTTAAAATGGACAGTAAGGCTCAGTTTGGTGAACTATCACATAGAATTAATGGGCTCAGAAATGAACGCAGCTCTTTAATGGCCACTGGGAATAAATATATCCAGAGCACTTAAATGCTAGTATACAAACTTTTTCCTAGGCAAAGAGATTTCAGAGCAAGAGGGGCTGGAATAAACAATAAAAAGGGTTAGTTTTCTTTACCCTGAAGTATTTGTGAAGATTGGCCAATGGTGTCCATATCCATCATTCAGTACAGCACTAGTTTGTCAGAAACTAATCTGTGTCAGGGAGAGGAAAGCTTGTTGAATTGTATAGTAAATGACTTGTGCAAATAAACAGCAATCAGACAAGCTTTGTGGTATTCCCCACAATTAATGCCTTGATATTAGTGCTTGATACCTTCTAAAAGGTTTTTCTTCTCTTAACTCTTTCATGTTGAAAAATAAATCAATTTAGCTTGAAGGGACCCTGGCTTGGAGCTAGGAGAGGAAGGGGTTCAGCTGCAAACTTTTGAAATATGACTCTTGAAAGGAAACTAAACTTCAGAATCATAAGTTAGATTGATTTTCACCATTCCAGGTCCTGTCATGTGGAAGCAATTTAATGACATAAATCTCAGATGAGGGCCAAAGGCAGAACACCGGAGGAGGTGACTGCTGTCTCTGGAAGTTAGATGCAATAAGGGAAAAATCTCATTGTGAAAGTTTCATGTTCCATGTGATTTTCATTTAGTGGCATGAGTCCAATGTAATAAAAGCTATGAAATGGTCTGCTTATAGTTAAATTCCTGCAAATGCATATTTCTATAATACTTGTTCTATTACATTACATTTCAATCTGCACAATCTTCTCATTGGAATGATACCCTGCCCCCGCCCTCCCTAATATTTAATCCTGAGGACCCTTTTTGAGGATTTGTAAGAGTGGAAGCAGAGGATGAATCACAGCTGTAGGAAACCAGACTGCTGCACGTGTGAGAGAAATGCATGAGAGATGAATAAAGAGCTAAGACAGTTTTCACTGTTGAGCAATTTTCATGATTTTTCAGAATAGGGTAGTCATAGCTTGTTTTGTCCTTTGATGTATTTAGTTTTCATTCAGCTAAGGAGGAGGCAGTGCTTCCAAAAAGATGGCCTTGTCACTCAGAAATGCCTGGTGATGTCTACAAGAAATAGTCCCAGATTACATGATCCTTTGACTAGAGTATCATTATGAAATCACATTTTTTTATCTTTGCTGAGCTAGACGTTTCAGCTCCAACAAACTGAACAGAAGACTCGTTCATCCTCTTAAGATACAGCGTGGAGCAGATTGTCAGAGATCAGCTCAATAGTTAGAGGACATTATTAGGTGGATTTCCAGCTTTGCTTCTTTTCCAGGAAATTCAAACCCCTACTGTCCAGGAAAACACCCAAACCACCACACAAGCTCTTGAATATTGTGTCATTTTAACAGCTTCAGATGAAAAATTTGATGAGAGGATGCAATTGGGAATGTATCTCAGTAACACCATGCTTATGGGATCCTTTTGGAAACAGCAGCCTGTTGCCAGGTTCTGTCCCTATCCTGACACTCTTCATTATATCCAGGAACTCTCTGAAATGAGATTAATGAAGTTATTTTATGATATGATCACTAATGAAATGTTACCTTACTGATAGTCAGACAAAAACCTTGATAATGGTTTAATGTGTGGGAGAAAAGCAGCATGATTTATAATGTTGATGCCAAGGTTCACAATCTGTTCTGCTTATCAAAGAGAAGGTTAAGAAATGATTTGATTCATCCAGAGAAGTGGCAGTTTCAGGAGTCTGGTTTTGTAGGCCTTATGGATTCTATCTGATGCTGTGAAGGTCCAGACTTGTAAATATTTGCTGCTTGTGGAGTCCATTATTTGGTACTAGAATCAAGTCTTGGGAGCAATGTGGAATATAGGTGGCTTCCAGTCAGGTTGGAAACACCTTGAAAGAATGGGAAGTGGAAACCCAGAGAAACTGCAATATCTCTAAGATTTGAAAAAAAATGGCACTTCAGTGAGGATCTGAACAAAAAAAAAGACAAGGTAAAGCCTTTCAAAAGCAGTGTGCCTAAAAAGTAAGAGAATGGATTTACAAGCAACAAAGATTTGGAAAGGTGTGAAGGTAAAGAGATTTTCTTTTGTAGTCTGAAGAGGGTGGATTGCACAGTGAGATCAAACAAGGAGAAATGAAATTTATTGCAGAGGATACACCAATTTTAGCATCACAGTGATTCAGAGGAGAAACTTGAAGCTACAGGAAGAATATCTGGGTGCTTCAGAGGTCCACAATGAAAATACAGTGAGAATTCAAGAGTGCTGAGGGCCCTGAAGTGGAAAGTGTAACATAACGTTCCATCATTTTGTTTGTCTGGGTTTCTGCATCTATTAAAACTATTAAACTATTAACTATTAAAAAGTAAGGAGTAACCATGCATATGAACGGCTGCAGACCATGTGTCTCTCTTCCAAGTTCAGTCTTGTATGACTGCAAAGGAAGAAACCCTGAAGTCAGAGTGCCCTGGTAACCCCTACAGTAGCACTTGAGGAAAGAGGGTACACATGCCCTGGGATTTCGCAGAGAAATGGAACTGACTTTGAGTGCAGGGGAGCAAAGGCAGCACAATCTGTACAAAAACCTGTACTTGGGAAGTGTTTTAAAGGGACTAAGGAGCTAGTAATTTTTTTAAGTTTGTTCTGTCCCAGCAGAGTAGAAGATCTCATTGTGGTGAGATGGGAATGCAGTGGTGTGGTAACCATGTGGTTGAGCAGAGCTCCCAGGTTTCAGGAACAGACCTGCCCTTGGCAGAGCCTTTAGTAGGTAATGGTGCTGCAAAATCCAACTTAAATCTCAGATTTAAAGCTAGACAAACTAAGCCTAGAAGTAAAGCCAAACATTTTTAATAGAGGATAACTAAAAACATGAGAAGGAGAGTTTTCATGTTTGCAATCATGGTTAGTAACAGTAATGTCCTTCTAAAAAAAAAAAAAGTCTTGGTTCTGTTCAAGTGATCTTTTCTTGCCCTAAGTCTGTAACTTTAGAACTAAACAGGCAAAAATGATAGCGCTGTGATTACTACTTATTCATGTTCTGCTTACTGTTAATGGAATGCACAACTTTTGACAAAATAGCAAGTAAGTTTTGCTCTAAAAGCCACCTTTTCTTCTTATTTTATTAACTTGAGCATCTGGAACAGCATACTAACAACAGTACTGTGTTGCTTGTCACAGTTACTTGCTCTGCAGGAGCAAGTAATTTCTGGGATTAGTCTCAGAAAAACTCTGTAGGAAATGAGCTAATGGCATTAATGTCATTAAAGAGTCTAGTGGAGAGGAATGGAAAAAAAAAAAATCCCAGTACCAAGGTTTTTCAAAAAGTGGGGAAATTATCACTTTTGGTTAAGAATCCATTCATCAAACTAGAGTCGGCTTGCTGACAGATTCGAACTCACATGTCTATATGCTGGTGGAGGATGACAGGCTCATGTTTTAAAGATGTCAATAACAGTTAATTTTTCTAGAGTTCAAATGGGAGTTCACACATTTTGTAACCATTGCTGAAAACTGTCTAGGTTATAACAAACCTATTTTGCCATCAAAATTACGAGTTTGTCTGTCTGTACCTGTTGCTTTTCCTACGAGGGCACAACTTGTACCATCTGGCACCTTTTTAACAAATGTACAAAGATAAAATCTTTGTATTTTTACCACCAGGTGGAACTGCATGACTTAGCAGATCAAGCAAGACGCTTACAGTAAACCACTTATCCCCTAAGCATTTGACATAACCACATGGCTAGTGCTGGTCTCAGAAAGATATGAACAGTGAGTCCCTTGTGGGTACAGAAAGTAACCACGCTGAAAAACAGTAGACATGGGCTTGCTATTCTGTCATGTTTGTCTTAACATTGGGCAATCTCGAACTACATTTCCCCATCATCCAGGGAAAAAATGTGTATTTAAACCAAGAGCCTCGTAATGTTGTAATAAGCATAACCTGATGTCATTTTGGAGCCCTGCTACCCTTAGCAAATCTGGGTCTTGGTCACAGATGGCTGAACCCCTAGGTCTGAGGTTACAATGCAGTGTATTATGCTGGGGAAGTTATACTGGAAAATTTACCGCACAGGGATTTTAAACCCCTCTACATTAAATGAGCAAGTTTAATTTCCCTCAAGTTGTAAACACTCTTTGAGCAAAGTGACATGTTCCAGCATGTGGTTTTCAAAGCAAAAGCGTGACCCAACTGAAGGCTGTGGGAGGCCTGCCATGAAGGTCATTGCAGATGAGGCTGGGAGCCCTCATTAAAGAAGAAGGGCTTAAATCCTGCCATCCCTACAAAAATTTTCTTTCTTCCTTGCTCTAGAAAAATCCACTCGACACTGATGACTTACCCAGCTTGTATTTCTGTGAATAGGGAGCAGATATTTGCCCACAATTAAGAAGACTCTTGTGCTCTGCACTTGTTTGTGTGCCTGCATGATATGAGAAACTGAAGCGGTAACTGAACAGACACTCCGTTCATGAATCAGGACTCCCACAGCCATGGCGAGAGACGACCCAGAGTGTCCCCTTTTCTCTGGATCATGACCCGCTGGCACATGCCAACCTACTTCTGAACAGCAGCTGCTTAAAAACACGACAGCGAAACACATTATCAAACATGAAAGTATCTAAAGCAGTAGTTTTCAGGCTGTGGATTGCAAAACCATGGGGGACTGGTGTCTGCTTTTAAGGGGTCAGTGAAAAGTGACAAAGGAAAGCAAATCTGCAAATGCTTAAGAACAATCGATGTATGGGAAATCAGTCTTCCCACTGGGAATGTTTCTGGGGTTCATATATTGGAAGGATCTGGAAAACTACTGAACTAGAAGACAAAAGAAAGACCTCAGGCAAGAAAGCAAAGACTAATAATGTATTTCAGAAATAATACAAGCATGACTTTACTTCTCAGGCTGTTTGTTAATCTAGCACAGAGAACAAAAAAATCTAAGACTCTTCGCATTTGGCAGGGCAGCCAAAATTTCTTCAAAGCCATGACCATGTGTCACAGCAGAAATTGTCCTTTTCTAGATTGGTAGAGTTGTTATTATGGTGTTTTCTGGGTCCTTCTAAAGAAAACACCCCAGCAAATATTTTGGCTCATTTCACATATTATCACAACTGTAATTATATGCATGGTAGCATTGCAAGTAATTATGTTTGGTTCTTTCTTTCTACATGAATATAGACAGATCTTCCAGAAAGAGTGCCCTGGTTTTATGCAAGAGTATAATTTCTCTGTAGGGAATGGAGCTTTTTTCTCCCATCTGACCTACCTGTTTCATTGCCATCCTTCTCACACAGCAGACTGTAGCAATTACTGAGCCTTGAGGCAAGTCTCTCTGATACAGGCCAAACACTGCAATTTATCTGATGCCTTGGTCCCCTTTGCAACATATATTTTGGTGATACTGATCTCTTTTTTTTTTTTATGGTTTGTCTTAAAATAAATATGCAGGATATTTGCAATGTCTTTGTCTGCCAGGAATTTACAGGCTTTCTAGTTGCCTTGTGAATAAACTGCTTCTTGATGTGACTTAAACAATTCTGCCCTTCTTTTCCTAGCATGTGCAGAAAGAAGTAACTTGCATGCAACGCGGGCCGTTTCCAGCTCTGTTTCTTGAAAAGTGACATTTCCTTTCAGAGTCAGAGCCAAATAGTCAGAGTCTGTTTCCTAAACAGATGTTGTCAAAGTTTGGGAGGGATCATATCTGTTTTGACGACAGCACTGTATTTTCTGGTGCAGAGGCAATGTTTTGTGTTCACAAGAGTGCAAATAAAGTTCAGTGGGTGTAGAAGGTGTATTTTCATAGAGGCCAGACAACTCTGGACTGCCTCATGCTTGTATTAGTTTCTAGTGGTGTGAATGGAGCAAGTACAGCACATCCTGCTGGTACCAGAAGCACTCCTGCTGACAAGGGAACATGAGCACTGTGTGAAGGGCAGTGAAGAGCCATCCACCCAGGGAAACATCACATTTTATAGTGTTCAGACAGTGACAGCAAGATACAAGTTTATAGATAGGACAGATCCAAGACAATTCTGTTTATGAGCAGCCTTAGGGTCTTATCTTGTAGATTTTCTGAAATGGATGACATATATATTAGCATAATTGTGCCATGTATTTGTACAGCATTAAATAGAACAATAACAAGCTCTGCAATGTAAACATTAACGGATAGTTGTTCAATGTTCAGTATTTGTTTTAAATAGCCTGTTGTTCGTTCAGACAGATCAAGACCTCAGAGCTAAACCCTTTGCCCTCAGATCCAAGACAGATGGGAGTGAGGAGGATCAAGAGTGGCTTCACATCATTATTTTATTCCAGTCTGGCTTCTTCCAGGCATCCAGCTCAGCTCTAGCCTAGCATACCCTGCCATTTGGGATCAAGACATGCTCAGCAACATTTTTCACATCAAGAAAAACTGAATATGTGTAATTCTCCCTTTAAAAATTCTGTTAAATACTCATGTATTCCCATTTTTATGAGACATAATGATTGACAATTTTCCTGATCTGTAGAGGAATAAAATCATCATTACAAAAGTAATAATGAAAATGATACTTCAGTCTTTTTTTAGTTCCTTCTTTGAGCGTGTCCCGTTAGTGATGTCTCTTTACCTGAGGGGTATACGCGAGGTTTTAGAGACCATATTACTAGGAAAGAGTGAGTTGGTATTTCATTCAAGATCATCAGTTTGTTTAAGGTTCTTGATTGCTAGCAAGGTCCTTGACTATTAAATAGTAGGCTGAAACTTTGAACACTGCCTTTCTTCCCAACTAGTCCATTTGCTGTATGTATAACCACAAAGACGCAATACATAAGGAGATCAACATTGCTTTTAAAAAATTAATTTCTATAAACAGATTTATTTTGTCTCTAGATGTGTCTAGAAGTTTGCTCAGCCACAGAAGAGGAAGGCCAAGGAAGAATCTACTTGTTATTTTCCACTGCCTAAAGGGGCTACAGAGAAGATGGTTCTAGGCTCTCTTTGGAGGTATACAGCAGAGCTCAAGAGGCAACAGACATAAGATTTAGCAAGGGAAATTGTTATTGGAGATATAAAAAAAATCTTCACAATAGGAATGGTCAAACACAGTAACTGGTTTTCTAGAGAGGTTGTGGCATTTCCATCTTTGGAGCTGGACAAGGACAGAGACCATCCCATCTGGACAAAGTCCTGAGCAATCTGATTTAACTTTGGTCATGTTTTGAGCAAAGGGTTGGAGTTAGACCTCTGGAGGTCCCTTCCAACTTAAATCAATCTATTAGGTTTCTGTGAGGACATATTTTGTCTTGTTCTATATGGCATTTTTTTGAATCAACAGAATGCTGAACATCGTGATTCCTGAACTTTTTTTTCCAAGATCAGTTCATACAGGTCCCCAAAATGCTACATAAAGAGCAGGATTCAATGGCTTACATGCTGCTAAAATAATCTGTAATTCATTTAGACACAATACCTCAGGACTAGGGATTTTTTCTTTGATCCTTTTATGTCATTAAAGCAGCAGGCATCCTGGTTATGAAAACTACTTCCTACCTAGCTTCAGCTTTTTGGTCCTTTAGTTACAAAGAACTGAGAGAAACTAAAAGTGCTTTTCTTCTTTTTAAAAATATCAAGTTTATGTTTAGTCATAACACTGCCTACAAAGGCCCAGGAAGTAGAGATACTAAACCAAGAACAAAGCAAAATATAAATTTGCAAAGTGGCTTGCACTGAAAGTGAAGTACTCATATGCAGAAAAAATCCACTTCAGAGTAAAGTCTTATTGATGGCAATGTGGTTTTTGAACTCTTAAGTAACATGATGTTGCCATGGGTTCTTGTCCTCACAGATCACCCTCCGTATCCTTGGGAAGACTTAATGAATGAATTGGGAATCAGACTGTACTCACACTTCCTTTTCAATGGTGGATTGGATGTGTAATTTAGGGATTTTTCCTAAATGTCAGTAACTTGTGTGCTAGATCTGAGATGGCCATGGTGATCAATCATTCCTCAAAAGGTGAAACTGAGGCCAAGTCTCGGGACTACTCACATGAGTAAGGGTAATTGGCCACCCATTATTAAAGATAGCATGAAGAAAATGTCTGAGGCCTGGGTAGTCAGCTGGAGGCCTCTGACGTTGTAACATTTGGGGACAGGGTGGTTTTTCCTGTGAGCTGTTCTGAAAGAACACATTTAAAGCAACGAGAGAACACCTGAAAAAAGAGAATCTAAACACTGCTCTATTTTAATAACTGGTTTTGAAAAAATCCCGCTTAAATTCAAAGAATAAATATAGAAAGGCCTATATATATGAATAAAGGGCACTGAGAAGTTCATCCTCCCAGGTAACTGCCACACAGCCCTCAACGTTTCTCTGGCTGTCAGCTTTCCTCTTGGGAATTCCAGCTTTCAGGATCCAGCCTCTGAATGCGGACAAGTTCTGCTGTATTTTTGCCTCAACACATCGATGAAGCTTCAAACCTGCGCCTCACAGCAGAGGTTGCTTGTGTTCTGTGTCTTGTGCAAGGCTGCAGCAGGGGTCCCAGATGCACTTACTTGTGTGCTTAAGTGCACATTTGACAAGCCCAAAGGCAAAAAAAAAAATATTCAACCACTTCATTAAGGCACTGCTAAGTGGAAATCACACCCAGGCTCTCTAGTACTAGTTTTTAATATGGGTTTTCAACAAATGCTGGGAGGTGAAAACTGTTCCTCCTGTGTAAAAAGTGGGTCTTGGCTGTGGGAAAAGCCATTTTACCTAGGAAAAAGGGTGATACCTGAAACCCACTGTTATGAGAGGAGTTTTAAACACAGATATAAAAAAATATGATCTTTAAAGTGAATTCTTGCCAGATACAGGCATGTTTTCTAATGAAATAGGAATAGGATGCCTGAAAGAGAAAAATGAAAGATGTTTTTCAATTGTATGTTTTTATTGTGCCTGGTTTAGTCTATGACTTCTTTAAGCTTTACGCACTCAGACTTTGAGGAGAGGGAAATTTGCCTGAATGCTGCTTTTGTGTCCAGTATCTCCCTGATGAGTTTATTCATGCCTTATCTTTGTGAGACCTGAGGTGGATTAAAATTATAGTGAGCTCAGCGAAGAAAGAAATAGCAAGAGTGTATCTATCAAACCTGGCAATATTTTACGCACTTAGCAGCCAGTCTAACCAGTTCAGGAAGTCAGATGGCCATTTCCATCCCTAAAGGAGCAGAGGATTTCCCTGGAGAAATTAGAGGAGTTAAGCATCTTTATTATTTCATATTTGGGAAGCCTTCTTGTGCATGCTATGATGAAAACCCCAGCTGGGCTGGTGCAGCAAGGAAGCATACATAGCAACATACCACACACTGCATGTCTGACACTAATCTTGCCTATGCCTGTCTTTTGGCTGTGTACTCCGATGCTTTAGCAACAATTACTCCTGTTTTTTTAAGAGGTGAGATCACAATAAGGTTCTCTGAAGGTAACTTAAAATAATCTCCATAAATAGAGTTGCAAACTGGTTGATTCTCATACAAAGTGCTTAACGATAGCAGACACTTCTCTTGGGCCACGTGTTCTCTGCTTCAATAAACCAGTAGGGGAAACAGGGCTAGCTGAAAAGGGTGCAGAGAGTTGGGGCTAATGTCTCCTTTTTAAGCAGGCCAAAGGCCTTTTGATCTTGTCTTTGAAATCACCAGTTTCGAACCCTTAAGACCTGTGGTGAACTTCTGTTAAGAAGTGGATGCCATTTCCTCCTTTTGATTTGCACCCTAATCCATAAAACTTCTTGGTGCAAAAATGCAGTCTAAATGTCTGGGCTTCACAGACCAGGAAAAAAAATGAAAACTCCAGGTAAAGCACAGTTCAAGCTTGGCAGGAGAGGAAAAAAAAACCTGAGGAAAGGAGTGAGGCAAAAGGCAAGCTTCACATTGCACAGAAGAAACGCATATTTCAAATTAAAATACTTACCAGGTGATTGAGACATTTTGTCTGAAAGTTTGAATAAACACATCCATTGAAGAGTATCAGCTGTGTCTACAGTGGCTGGTGTGAAACAAAGGAACATCTGTTATGTATATGTTTTGGACACATAGGAAAGCTTGGAGCCAAGAATGTTATATATACATATATGGCATAAAATGCATTTCTCAAATGTAAGCACAGCTAATGTTCCGGTACTTTGATAACATCCCCTGCAGTGAAATTACCACCTAGGGTGAGTTTGCAGTGCCTTCACCCTGGATACACGAAAGTACAAGGTGTCCCTGTGCTAAATCAACCTAGTCAAAAAAGATGACCCCGGCCAGCCGCAAGCACAAGCATGTCTAGCAGAGTAGAAGTAGCTACACAGTTAGCTTTGGACTAAGTTTAGAATAAAAACTACAAGAGCCGCGTCTTTGCCCTATGAAACCTGTGACTCTAACAGCCATGTTCTGGGGAGAAACTAGAAACATAAATACTTCAACTTTTAAAAAACAATCAATTAATTATTTTCCCTAAAAAACAGCAGCATAAACACAAACTGGTTACTTATAGTCAATAAATATTTGCGTTGTTTGAAAGAATAACAAGACAGTATGTCTTGTACACATACATGTACATACACAGGGTTTCACGCTGCTTGTAATATTTCAGGTTTCGTATACCTTGTTCTGGGTGTTCCCCTCCAGCCAGCTCTATATCCACAGACTTGGAAATAGTGACAGAGAATTAAATTTGTGGAAGGAAAAAAAAATACAATTTTTATTTTTGCTAATAAGTGCTTAGCCTGGCTAAAGTTCAACCTGGCTTTACCAGACAAGATGCATCAAAATATTTTTATAGCCAAGTTATGTTGAACAGATTGACCAACCAAAATAAAAGGCCTGCAGCAGGACAATGAGATTTTCTTGGCAAGCTTTGTGTCAAGGTTATATTAATGGCATAGCAGGGAAGGAGCACAGGAAAATAAAAGCATAAAAGGGAAGCAAGAAGCTTTAGGAAACTGGAGGATGGCTGGTTAATGAAACACTGTATGTGCTTGCACGCAGCAAAGCCAGCCTTGTACTGCAAAGGTGAAAAGGATGAGCAGACACTGTCTTGTTGAAAGGAGATATGAACAGGGAAAAGCATGATTCTCTAAACAGTAAATCTCCTATGATTTTATCCCCTTTGCCTCTGAGGTGTCAGGGCAAAAGGTTAATAGCTGAGGATGATGTGAGTGCATAACACTTGAAGGCCACTCAGTCTGTCTTAATTATTTCCACAGGCTTATCTCGCCATGGAAAGCCAAAAAACTGCAGTACTTCTGCTACCAGCCACTACTTTCAGAAGCTATTACCCAAATCTGGCTGCTATCTTCATACCTAGTATGGTTTGCCAAGAAGTAACACATGGTGGGAATAAATGGCACTGTAGCAAGGGACCATGTCTGATTGAGACACTTCACTTGTAAAACACTGCAAAAAGGGAAAATAATCCAAATCTTAATCTGTGCGATGATTCGTGTGAACGACAGCTGCTCTATCTGGGTCTGAGGCCAGGCAAATTAACCCAGGGAGAGGAGGTCTTGCTGCCTTCTTTGACACCATTCTTATGGGAATAATGCCAAGGAATGGAACAAAATGGATGTTACAAGCAAGTAATAGCCCTTTACCTGAAAGGCAGTGGTGTGACCAGTGACTGCCCAGTTATGAGCTAGCTCATTATCTAAAAAAGGAAGAAATCTGTGTTTCCCATAGGAATCACTTTACTGTGGTAGCTCCTCCTCTGTTTTCACAAATGTGTTTGCTACATGCTCACAGATGTCTTTGGAATTGTGTTTCCTCCCTGAGAAGCAGAGGGATCAGCAGCATAAGGAAAGAGCATATGGCAAAGTCTTAGCCCCAGGGAGTATGCAGATTGGATTTTGCTCTGCATTTTTCATGATATATGATTTTTCCCATGGAAACAAGTTGGATTTAGGAGAAAGAAGGTTTTGTATTAAAATTTCAGAGCAGAGAATGTTCTGAAAAACAACTCTTTTTTCGGGAAACTAATATTGCCTCCCCCGGCACGTATCTGTGAACTCCTTGACTACAGTGCAGAATAAGGTCTTACTCTTTTTGGAAACAGTAGAGCAAGATCAGTGAACTGGACAAATGTATGCTAGAGGAGGCAGCAGTAGTCAGAAGAAGATTTATTTATGGAGAAACTCCCTCTGTTAGGCAGAAGAGAGAAAATACATGTCTTTAAAGCTTCTAGAGTAAAAGCTGTTAGAAGGTTTATTGGTACTCACTTTTCAAATTGGATTCACCTTTTTATTTATTTTTTTTTAAACAGTGAGTCTTTGATTTTGGCAAAACTTGGACAGGCCCTGTGTCTCAAGACCTGAGCGCTGTCAGAGCCATCAGAGGGGCAGTCCTTCTGAGCCTTGAAACCCTGGGAGGGAGTGCAGGCGCTTCTTCAGTACCACTGCTCAGCACTGGGGTCTCCAAGAGACTCAGGCATGTAGAGGAGGAGGTCGGCAGCTCTAGAGGTGTAACTGCTCAAATCAGAGGTTTCAGGGATGTGGAGGACAGCACCTTTCCACACATAACTGCTAAATTCAAAAGTTGTTGTGATGATCAGGTACAAATTGGTGTTTCTTAAGGCTTGCCATCAGGCAAACAGATTTTTCCTTGAGGCAGATAGATGGTATAGAACATTTTTACCACGGATGGTTTACACTATCTAACTCAGAGACTATTATTACAAAACATGTAGGCATTTCTCATTCATGTTGTTCAATATTAACTCAATCCAGTATCCATGCTAGCCTGATCGCAGCAGAAGATTCTCTCTAGTTTATTCGGTTCTTAAATACTCCAGAGAGAAAAACTCATTGACCAACAGTAGGGAGCTAAAATTTACATTTTTTTAAAAATATAAGTTAAATAGCAATATATCATATGCCTGCCAGTGAAACAAAACCAATGAATGTAGCATATTTGTATGAAATTGTAAGTTAAGTTCTGTATATGCAAAAAATAACTTTCTTCATTTAGGCCTCATCTAAACCTACAGGGACTGGATTTCACTTTTGCCAACCTGATCTGAGGTAGAAGCTGCAGAGCGAAGAGAGTGCAACACCGAGTTTACCAGATAGGCTGGTCATTTATATTAATGGAGCAGTGCTAGTAGGGAATTACAGGATGTCATTTTGGGTGGTGTACACACTTCCACTGGATTAAGGGTAAAATATTGTTTGATTTGCATTTACAAGTTAAGCTAGAGCCTTAACTTTACTTGACTTTTAAAATACCATATGTTACCCATGTATAAAGAGGTGGATTAAGATTTTGCAGTAGAATAGCAGGCATTCTTTCACAAGACACTTCAGTGTATGTTATGGGTATTTTATGTACATTCAGACGACAAAATTATGTAAACAACTTTTCTGAGCATGCACCAATCATCCCAGGAACCCCAAAGTAATTAAAAACCTAGATTTATAGTAAAATAGTTTAATATAGATACTAAACAAAGAGTTCATGGAAAGGACAAATACAAAACACATGCTTGCAAAAATGACACTGTTAGAGAGCAACAGTAAAAAACCATGTTCATAAGATCCTTAACATTTGTAAGCTGCATCTGGCAACATGGAAGGCTAATGAGATTTTGAACTACAGTATGTCAAATTTATGAGGTGTAGAAGGACATGTCCCTTACCCTTATGTAAAATAATTGGCATTAAAGAAGCTTAAAAATGTTCCTGAACTGATCAGAAATCTGAACTGGATTTTATGAGAAAGTAGGTGAGTTTTTTCCCTTGTCTTTAAAATCTATCATTAGTTACTACCAATCTTAGTGTTTCCACAGTGCCAGTGTCTGGAACATCTAAATGCCAATGTATCTTCAGCAGCGTGAGAGTGCCACTCAAGTGACTTGATATTTACAGCATGAATCTCATGCAAGCTTTCAGAAGTGTCTAAAGACACAGAACTATAAAGCACCATGAAAGCAGGCGCTCAAAAAAACTGCAATCGCGACTTTTTCTTTCTCCCCCTAAAAGAACAAAAAAGCACTATTTTGTTGCACATGTAAAAAATTTTTTGGTTTCCTTTGTCTATGTTATGCAGTTTCTGGCTGCACATTGTTACATGAACAGTCAAGCTTTTCTTTTACTTCAGAAATGTGTAATTCTTGCTGTATGAAAAATATTAGCCCATCCTCTGAGAATCAAAGCACTCACTCTGAGCTGAGCATTTGTTTTTCCTTTAAGTTAAAAAAACCCATAAATGCATGGAGTTAAAGTTACTGTAAAACTAGTGTTAATCACTAGTCTGGGACTTTTCAAGCTGCATTCAGTTCCTTTTTCTACCACGAATTTAATTTCTGATCTTGGCCAAACCAGCTCCTTTCTTGCCTGCAAAGAGTGAAAACAACATCTTCTTTTCTGAAAGGTTTCTGATGTAGCTAGTTACGCTAAAGCGTGCGTAAGATGCTTAAGACATAAAAAAGAAAGCGATTAAACAAAATAAAATTAAGGAAATGTAACATTCCTTTCTTCAGAATTATCTCCGTTATTCAGTAACCATATACATAAGACCTCCTTACAGCAATAGCTCACAGAAATTGTGTAGATGTGTATCATAAAGTGTGCAAGATACTCCAGCCAATTTTAGAGCCTCACTGAGCTAGATAGTGAAAGAACAAATAATAACTTTGAAGCCCTTTTCTGAGTAAACCTGAGAAAGACAGATTTAAATATAACTTCTGGGGTTTTTTTTCCTATTAAATTATGAAAATGTGCATTTGGGTTATTCAAATAACTTTGATTCTGCCTTAGGCACTGTTGCAGGAGCAGGGAGGAATCTGCCTTTAAAACTGTTTAATCTAATTCTGGGTTGTGGAGACCAAAATGGCTTAATCATAACCATATGATAGTTACTACAGAATATCACTACATGTAGGAGTTACATGAATTTTATGGGCTCGTAATTTTTGCTTTGGAATAATTCTGCTAGCCCTACAATATATGTTACCATATACTGGTGACATATACTCTCAAACTCAGTTTTCCCATAGCTTTTATCTGAGAT